TCCCCCACCATGAGAGATGTCCCCGCCCCCTGTATTCCCGGGACTCCACCCAGGAAGATCTCACCATCCCCCACCATGAGAGATGTCCCCGCCCCCTGTATTCCCGGGACTCCACCCAGGAAGATCTCACCATCCCCCACCATGAGAGATGTCCCCGCCCCCTGTATTCCCGGGACTCCACCCAGGAAGATCTCACCCTCCCCCACCATGAGAGATGTCCCCGCCCCCTGTATTCCCGGGACTCCACCCAGGAAGATCTCACCATCCCCCACCATGAGAGATGTCCCCGCCCCCTGTATTCCCGGGACTCCACCCAGGAAGATCTCACCCTCCCCCACCATGATCAGGTAGATGGGTCTGAAGGACACCGGGATCTCTACAAGGACGTCGGGATGGAGGACCACCAGAGTAAGATCTCATGATATGAAGGCGTGGCACGGGGGGGCGGGGCTGTACAATATCTTCACCGTCGTGTCCTTCTCATGCAGGTGGACCTGGCGGGAAATGCGTCACCTCGGAGGAGTTTCAGACCCGTTCCACGGACACCCCTGGAGAAGACGAACACGTGAACATACATGCAGAGGAGGGTCATGAGAGGACATGGGAGGAAAGAGGGAACGTCACGGAACGGGATTCCTTCACCGGAGAACTTCACTCGCAGGCAGGAAGTCTTCTGGGTTTGGACATTTCTACTTCAGAACCCTACTCCCCTGTCCATGGCAGTCCTTCCGCCGCAGTCCCTACTCCTTTTACGTGTCATCACGTGAAGGGGCCACCACACACAAGTGATGAAGAAGAAGGTCGCAGCACCGATGTGTCCATACCGCTCGATCCGGCCGAGTACACCACGACTATTGTTAAAGAGGAACCCTACTCAGGAGACGAGGACCTGGACTCCCCCCTCCCTCGGGGACTCTACGCCTCCAGTCATGTGAAGGAGGAAACAAATCTCGGTGACTTTGATGTCCCGGCGGATAGAAGACAATCGGATTACGTGTCCCGCTCGGACTTCCGTGACGGACATCTATCGGAGAATCTCTACGTGCCGCCTCAGGGAGACGCCGCCGGTCAGCTGACCTCCTGGCACATGGACCCGTCAAGGATGGATGGAAACCTGTCCTCGTTTATGAGTTCTACAAGCGTCCCCGGTGCTCAGGCCGCCGGAGAGAAGTCCTTTGTATGTTTAGAGTGCGGAAAGTGTTTCTCTTGTGGCCCCCACCTGGTGCGCCACAGGCGGACGCACACCGGGGAGCGGCCCTTTAAATGTACGGAGTGCGGCAAATTCTTTTCCAGCAGCTCCAACCTCCTCATGCACCAGAGGACTCACACAGGAGAAAAACCCTTCGCCTGCCACCAGTGCGGGAAACGCTTTGCCCGCAACCCACATCTGGTCCGCCACCTCCGGATTCACACCGGGGAGAAACCCTTCGAGTGTGCCGAGTGTGGGAGGAGGTTCAACCAGGACTCCAACCTTCTCAAACACCAGCGCACGCACTCGGGAGAGCGGCCCTTCATGTGCTTAGACTGCGGCAAGTTTTTCACCAGCAATCCCCATCTCCTCCGACACAGACGCGTCCACACCGGAGAGAAGCCTTTCTCCTGCCCGGAGTGTGGGAAATGTTTCTCCAACAGCTCCAATCTCATCACACACCGCAGGACTCACCTTTCCCTCCGACTGCTGGAGCAGCTTCCCAACCAAAGGAAAGCCCATCTACAACGGCCAGGACCTGACCATCCCTTCTAGGTACCCCCTGAACAATGACACAGTTTGGCCCCTCCCATAAGGCCATTGTTTCCTCATGAAGGGGGGGTGGGGAGGGGTTCCTTTCTTACCCCACAAAGACCTTTTAGCGTAATCTTTGCTGTTCTGTGATAATTATACTTGTGGATTTTATTAGGTGTAAGTGATTTCTTAATGACTACCTCATGGAGTAGGGAACGGCACACCCGAAGAAACCCTTCCCGCACTGACGTGGATCTACCGATGATATAGAACGGGGGTCATCCTCGGAGGAGGCTGCTTCCTCTCTGGTCACCATGAGAGCTCCGTACACCAGGAGATCCCTTCCCGGACTAGAAGGTTTAATAAGAATAGCCAACACGTTCCAGGGGGGTCAAAGGTCTCCCCTTCATCAGGGCTTCAAATCTATGGCGTGTAATAAAAGCCAGACACCCCCTGCGGGGGCATGCGGACTAGGTTTGAACCCCTGGAGTGGGTAAGCTTTTGTCAATAAACACTTTATACAGATCATGGAGCTACGTGACCCTTCTTTCCCGGCCCCCTGAACCCCATAGACCAAGGATGGCCAAACATCCGGCCCTCCAGCTGTGGGGTGAAACTACAAATCCCATGAAGCATCTCTCCGGGAGTCACGTCTGTGAGAATCTTGCAATGCCTCATGGGATTCGTAGTTCCACCACAGCTGGAGGGGCGGAGTTTGGCCGTCCCTGCCATAGCATGATCCGGGACCCGGTCTATGGGATGAAAGGCTCATCCACCAACCTTTATATACATGACTGGGGGTTAGACCCTCTCCTCAAGTCTCCCCTAAATCTTTCACTGCCCCTCCCCCCCCCCATCTGTACCATGTTCTCACATTTCAGGGAACACCAGAACCTTGGACTCATCGTCTGGCACTGTACAGGTTCAGCCCGGTCTCCGGATTGTTCTGATAATACATTTCAGTATATTACATATTGTTTCCCAAGTGTAAGATGAAACGCGGGGCAACTGGGGTGAAGGGGAAGGTCACCGGTTGGGGAGGTCACCGGTTGGGAAGGTCACCGGTTGGGAAGGTCACCGGTTGGGAGCGTGGCCCTATGTCCCTTCTGTGGGGGGCGTGGCCCTATGTCCCTGGTCATGGGGTGGTCAGGCCGGTTACAATGTAGATTTTTGGGTCCGTGGCGCAATAATAAAATAAGATTGTAAAATGAACTTGTTGCCGTAGATTTGTAGCAGACACTGAAAAGCTCTCGTCACAATGCCGGACTATATCACCATCTATATCACCGTCACCGTCTACATCCCCATCTATCTCACCATCTATCTCACCATCTACATCACCATCTACATCACCATCTACATCACCATCTACATCACCGTCTATATCACCATCACCGTCTATATCACCATCACCGTCTATATCACCATCACCGTCTATATCACCATCACCGTCTATATCACCATCACCGTCTATATCACCATCACCGTCTATATCACCATCACCGTCTATATCACCATCACCGTCTATATCACCATCACCGTCTATATCACCATCACCGTCTATATCACCATCACCGTCTATATCACCATCACCGTCTATATCACCATCACCGTCTATATCACCATCACCGTCTATATCACCATCACCGTCTATATCACCATCACCGTCTATATCACCATCAATATCCCCATCACCGTCTACATCCCCATCTATATCCCCGTCTACCGTCACCGTCTACATCCCCATCTATCTCACCATCTACATCACCATCTATATCACCATCTACCATCACCGTCACAGTCTACATCCCTATCTACATCACCATCTATATCACCATCTATATCACCGTCTATATCACCATCTATATAGTGGGGGGCGTGGCCCTATGTCCCTTCTGTGGGGGGCGTGGCCCTATGTCCCTTCTGTGGGGGGCGTGGCCCTATGTCCCTTCTGTGGGGGGCGTGGCCCTATGTCCCTTCTGTGGGGGGCGTGGCCCTATGTCCCTTCTGTGGGGGGCGTGGCCCTATGTCCCTTCTGTGGGGGGCGTGGCCCTATGTCCCTTCTGTGGGGGGCGTGGCCCTATGTCCCTTCTGTGGGGGGCGTGGCCCTATGTCCCTTCTGTGGGGGGCGTGGCCCTATGTCCCTTCTGTGGGGGGCGTGGCCCTATGTCCCTTCTGTGGGGGGCGTGGCCCTATGTCCCTTCTGTGGGGGGCGTGGCCCTATGTCCCTTCTGTGGGGGGCGTGGCCCTATGTCCCTTCTGTGGGGGGCGTGGCCCTATGTCCCTTCTGTGGGGGGCGTGGCCCTATGTCCCTTCTGTGGGGGGCGTGGCCCTATGTCCCTTCTGTGGGGGGCGTGGCCCTATGTCCCTTCTGTGGGGGGCGTGGCCCTATGTCCCTTCTGTGGGGGGCGTGGCCCTATGTCCCTTCTGTGGGGGGCGTGGCCCTATGTCCCTTCTGTGGGGGGCGTGGCCCTATGTCCCTTCTGTGGGGGGCGTGGCCCTATGTCCCTTCTGTGGGGGGCGTGGCCCTATGTCCCTTCTGTGGGGGGCGTGGCCCTATGTCCCTTCTGTGGGGGGCGTGGCCCTATGTCCCTTCTGTGGGGGGCGTGGCCCTATGTCCCTTCTGTGGGGGGCGTGGCCCTATGTCCCTTCTGTGGGGGGCGTGGCCCTATGTCCCTTCTGTGGGGGGCGTGGCCCAATGTCCCTTCTGTGGGGGGCGTGGCCCTATGTCCCTTCTGTGGGGGGCGTGGCCCTATGTCCCTGGTCATGGGGTGGTCAGGCCGGTTACAATGTAGATTTTTGGGTCCGTGGCGCAATAATAAAATAAGATTGTAAAATGAACTTGTTGCCGTAGATTTGTAGCAGACACTGAAAAGCTCTCGTCACAATGCCGGACTATATCACCATCTATATCACCGTCACCGTCTACATCCCCATCTATCTCACCATCTATCTCACCATCTACATCACCATCTACATCACCATCTACATCACCATCTACATCACCGTCTATATCACCATCACCGTCTATATCACCATCACCGTCTATATCACCATCACCGTCTATATCACCATCACCGTCTATATCACCATCACCGTCTATATCACCATCACCGTCTATATCACCATCACCGTCTATATCACCATCACCGTCTATATCACCATCACCGTCTATATCACCATCACCGTCTATATCACCATCACCGTCTATATCACCATCACCGTCTATATCACCATCACCGTCTATATCACCATCACCGTCTATATCACCATCACCGTCTATATCACCATCACCGTCTATATCACCATCACCGTCTATATCACCATCACCGTCTATATCACCATCACCGTCTATATCACCATCACCGTCTATATCACCATCACCGTCTATATCACCATCACCGTCTATATCACCATCACCGTCTATATCACCATCACCGTCTATATCACCATCACCGTCTATATCACCATCACCGTCTACATCACCATCACCGTCTATATCACCATCACCGTCTATATCACCATCACCGTCTATATCACCATCACCGTCTATATCACCATCACCGTCTATATCACCATCACCGTCTATATCACCATCACCGTCTATATCACCATCACCGTCTATATCACCATCACCGTCTACATCACCATCACCGTCTATATCACCATCACCGTCTATATCACCATCACCGTCTATATCACCATCACCGTCTATATCACCATCACCGTCTATATCACCATCACCGTCTATATCACCATCACCGTCTATATCACCATCACCGTCTATATCACCATCACCGTCTATATCACCATCACCGTCTATATCACCATCACCGTCTATATCACCATCACCGTCTATATCACCATCACCGTCTATATCACCATCACCGTCTATATCACCGTCACCGTCTACATCCCCATCTACATCCCCATCTACATCACCATCTACATCACCATCTACATCACCATCTACATCACCGTCTATATCACCGTCTACATCCCCATCTATCTCACCATCTACATCACCATCTATCTCACCATCTATATCACCATCACCGTCTACATCACCATCTATATCACCATCTATATCACCGTCTACATCCCCATCTATCTCACCATCTATATCACCATCACCGTCTACATCACCATCTATATCACCGTCTACCGTCACCGTCTACATCCCCATCTATCTCACCATCTACATCACCATCTATATCACCATCTACCATCACCGTCACAGTCTACATCCCTATCTACATCACCATCTATATCACCATCTATATCACCGTCTATATCACCATCTATATCACCATCACCGTCTACATACCCATCTATCTCACCGTCTACATCACCATCTACATCACCGTCTACTGTCACCGTCTACATCCCCATCTATCTCACCGTCTCCCGTCACAGTCTACATCCCTATCTATATCACCATCTACATCCCCATCTTCTAATGAAGGAATTCTGCTGGTAAACCAGCGAGTTGTGAAAGCTGGATAGAGCGTCGTGGCTGGAGGACTATTCACATACATATCTCCACATGCATGCTGCAACCACTGAGGGCCTTCCACCGTCCCTGGTGGACTTCTCTAATGCTACAGTAACTACCAGCAGGAATGTAAACACCAATGGGGGGGGGGGGGGCAACTAAATTTTTTACACCCAAGT